CATTTAATTAGGAGCACCACAAATTAAATTGTGTCATGTTATAGGGACTACTGACTGAACAGACATTTAGAAGTTGATTTTAAAATGCAAAGTATTTAAAATTAAAATGAAAATAACGCTATGTAAACACTTGCATTTTTACAACACTATAAGTGTGTCCCATCAGGTAATGAAAAGTTCGACACACACTTGTGGTCTTCATCCTCACTTGAACACTTGGACCAAATACTTATATACATATAAGTAGTCAAGTGGTCAAGTGCAAAGACCACAAGTGTGGGTATTTGAGGCCGTTGTTTCGTTTCTTCTTCACTTGTGTTTTTTTGGAAATTCCGTACAGAAGATGTGTAATAGCGTCCCCTGCCATATAACAATGAAAATGGATTCTCGGAGCACAAGTATAGCTCAAATATATTTAGACTTTTTCTAAGCATAAGTCAAGTATACTTAAATGTAATTTTAAGTATATTTCTGAGAAGTACATAAAGCCCATGTAAGTACATACAAAGTAAACTGAAAGTATACTTTCCTATTTTTGGTTTAAAAGAAGTATACTAATAGCACACTTGAATAAACTTCTTTTTCGTAAGGGATGCAACGGCCCTGATGAAAAGACGAGCATGTGTCATGTTATGGATACTGGGCTAGTGTTCCTAAAAGTCGCTAAACCAGCAAATATGAAGTTTATGCTGGATGACCGGCTTCATAAGTGTTTCTGTTGAACAGTATTACTATGTTTATATACCAGACAGAATTGAGTGCTGCAGGGATGACGTATATTCGTTCTTCCGGTTCCATAATTCTAAGGTCAATGGGTTTTTTGAATGGGTTTAAAAGCCTGAAATAAAGTCTGTGGTTAAACACAAGCTCAAAATATCTTCACGTTTTATTCAATATCTTAAAATACATCAGTAATACTGAAAAAAGTTTTAAGTTTCTGAAGTGTTACGTTTTAAGTTTCTTTTAAAGTAAACTCTAAACTCAGTCTCATTGTGCTTATAACCACACTTTAGCAAACTATTCAGACTCAAACTTTCAAAGAAACTTTCAAAGTTTTTAAATAAAGACTGAAAGAGTTGTCGGAAGTTCAGAACTGATGATGACGTTAAAGTCATGTGACTGTGGTGTACTTTGTTTATAGATTACGTTTAGCCTTTTAATGTTGTGTTCATTTGTTCAGGATATAATGATGAAAAAAATGCACAAATCATAAACTTTAGTCACAGAGCTTGTTTTGCAATAATCCAAATGTCAATGTAAAAATCCTACTTCCTAACTTCCTGGTTAGCCTACAAAAAACTGGCATCACTGCAGTGCTGTAAAGCATCAAACTAGCACTAATAAAAACAATCACGGAAATTCATGCTGGTCAAACATGGTCTTTTCAGCATGATGATGACAGTATGATACGGGAAGTATAATTGAGGTTCTGTGACCACACATAATGCTAATGTTCACTCTTCACTTTGTTTTGTTTGCTAATTTTAAGTTTTAATATTTGCTTTATTGCTATATTGTCTTTTACTGTGAATGTGAGAATGACATACTGCCAAGATTTTTAAACAGGGACCTCTCAAGGTTTGTGGAGGTACTGCAGGTGATCTGCCGATAATATTTAAAATATAGAAAAATCATTATATAAGATAACATTTTTAATTAGTATGATTTTATATCTGGTGTGGAGGTCTGTGAAATTTGAAAACCTGGAAAAACTGGATAAACGCAACTGACGTATTTGTGTCTGCTTCCATAGTAATTTGCCTACAGTGAGCTTATGCTGAAATGTGTTTCTGGTGTGTACTTACATCAATCAGCTGCTGCTGCTCTTGCTCAGTCATCTCTGTCAGGCTGTAGTATTTGCCCGCCAGATCATCCTTCAGACCAGAAAGACCCTGGACCACCACACGCTCCACCTCACGGCGTTCAGCACGAGTGCAGGCGGGAGGCAGACTGAGCCCACGAATACTGCGGCCCGTGCGCACACGTGATGACAGCACATAGTTCTCATCAAACATCCCAGAGGTGATCTGTTCAGAGGCCATCGGAGAAACATTCAGTTTTCAGTGTAACTCAAATGAGGCAGGTCTCACCTTGCATGAGCCCTTGATGGAATGAATTTGTAAAAAGGGATCAGAACCAAAGACAACAGAGGAACCTTTACCTTTGAGCTGTCCAGGTCTGTTGGGTGCTTCATGGTTGTAGGGTCATAGCCATTGTGCCTGTCCTTAATGACTGGGTTAAAGATTTCAGCAAAAACCTGAGGATCACAGCCATAGTCAATGATAAAGTTCATCTTCATGTACTGTATTTATGTCGAAGTAGCCTACTTCATTTTGATGCCACTAATTGACAGAGTTGAGCATGGACAATAAAATAAAATATTTATTTCCCCCACTGTATGTATCTCTAAATGTTAAAGTAAACCTACCATAAAAATTACAGATCCTTAATTTCTTTGTAAGTGGGCAAACTTACAAAATAAGCAGGGGATCAAATTAATATTTCCCCCACTGTATCATTTATTAAATTTATTATAAGTATTTTCTTGCTGTTACAGGCATATATTTATGTATATACATAACTATTTGGTGCATATTGCAAACTCGTAATTACACCTTCAGAAGTGGGAAGTAAAAAATTTCCAATAGCATGTGAAGGCAGCCTTAATACGAGAATTATGATTTTAATATCCTCTAAAGCCTATTTTGACTGCCATTTGGCCCAGTTTTGTACCTCATAGCTCTCCTCATCACCAGCCACCATGCCCACAGTCTTGATGAAGGGATGACCAGGGTTGTCCACTCCGGTCTGAATACATTGGTCAAGACTCCAGTTATTGGGGGTCAGCTTGTCCCTCAGCTGGCCATAAACAGCAGGAGTCAAGGCAGAAGCCAAGCAGTTGTTGTGTTTGCGCAGGTCTGGGTAGTCAGCACTTGGAAAGATAAAAACCAAGGTTAACTGAACTAAGTCCTCAGGATAACGGAAACTAAATGGTCAACTTTCCTACTCACCTGGGTGGGTACAGCTTCTTTTTCTCCCCAGCAGAGACTCCTGACTCAGTCATCATGATATAGCTGGATACCAGGGTACCCGCACCCAGGCCGGCCATGATCACAGCCGTGTTGCGTCCAGACAGCACTCGAGTGAACATGCTTGCCATCCTCACCACTCGATCAGCCACTCACCAACTTTAACTTTAGAGCAGAGGACAGCATAAATGTTTGTGTTAAAAATGTTTTGTCAGCTGCTTTTTCATGTGACTGAATAATAATTTTTTAAAAGATTTATTTTTGGCGTTTTTTGTTTGTTTGCTTGATTAGTGTATGACAGTGTAGAAGTTACAGGAACTTCAGGAAGCGAAGTGGGAGACAGAAGGTCATCGAGCCAGGATTCGAACTGGATAATTTTTTTGTGAATTAATTTAAATGATATTAATACAATTTCTTGTAGCTTTATATTTTTATTAGTTTGGTTTACTCAACAATTTGAATTCATGTCTTAGATGGCCAATAAAAAAAATTCATGCCGTTCCAAACTCCAAACCGTTCCAAAAGACTCGTATTCATCTTTGAAAAGCAAATGAAGATTTTTCTTAAATATCCTTTAATCATTTTTGTCTGTTCACTGAAAGTAGCCTACATGCAAACCAAGATTTTCACTCATCAAAGAGCCTAATGATCAACACACATCTCATGAAATAAGGTCAACTCGGCGTGTTTTCTAGAGCTTTGCTCAGTGTTCTGGTCATGTGAATGAAAGCCTAAATGTAATCTGTTCATCATATAAAGCGATGTGTCTCTTCAGAAGTCTTTGATTAAACCACTTGTTTCATATGGATTACTTTTACCAAGTTTGACGCATACAAATCTTGGTTGTGTGGACTTTCAATGAACGGATAAACATGATGAGAAAACATTACAAAATACTTTCATTTCTGGTCAGAAAATAAATGATGACATTATGACTGAATGAATCAGTGTTAATCAAAGGTGCTCTACTTGTCGATACAGTATACTGTAGTTTGACACGGTGAGCAACTTCTGTGTCCTGACATACATGTTGACTTTTTCCACTGAGGAGTATCCAAATATACATCAGCTTTGAACTTGATGCCACAGCAATATATGCCAGTTTATAATTGACATGCCCCAGTACCAGCAGTGCAGCCCGTGTGTCACATGTATGTTCCAGTTGTCAGGTTTCTAAAACTTTACCCAAACATTTTTGATAAATCTTACACAACACTTCAACAAATCTAAATACACTACTATTTTTTTAGTAGAGACTATAGGCCTACTTGCTAATACTGTTTTTTCACCATTATCCTAACTAATATGTTATCACCATTCTGCTTCTTTACAAAATACTCAGTTTGTGGTCCCTATGAGGAATTTATGGTCTCAGTGGTTCCAAATATTTTAGCTGTATTTACAGCTGAAAGTGGATCCACAGCAAATGGTCTTTATGCAATGGTGTCCAAACTTTGTTACAATAATCACATGACCTGTGACCACGTAGAGGGGCTTACAATAAGACAGGGTGGTTGTGCCATGGTCAAACTTCTAGAGCATTCTGAGAATGTAATGGTAATGTAATGCATTATATAAACATCGGAAAATAATAAAAAATGGTATAGGTTACTGCAAATGGAAAACACATTATTTTACATGTTTTTTAATTATTAGCAGACATTTTGGTAAAGAGACGAACTTGTGTTGCTTTTCAGATTAGTTAACAGATTAGTATCAAAAAGTTCACACACTGAACCAGACTGTCATAAAATATACTTAGTACTGTTGCAACTGGCAAAATCTAGCTTCCCTGGTTTCTTTACATTTCTGTCAATAATAAAGCTATACAAATACAAATGATTGTTAAAGCGAATGTTTTATTGTACTCACCTGTAGGACTGAAGGGGTCTCAGGCTTCAGCACAGCAGACTGTTCCCTGTAGAGTGAGACCTCACTGGGCCTGTGCTTAAAATAAAGTAAATTAGCATCCACACCAAAGCACAATGTTAATGGTGCTTATTGTATTAAAGGTGCAGTTATGTTGTCTGCCTCTCAAAACGCTCAAGCTCTTTAAAGCAGGATGTATTCTGATTGACTGTCTGTGTTTTTTTATCATTTATAAGCTGGAAAAAAAAGTTGATCCCAACAATATCGGTCCTTTGTATCATAATAGTTGTGGCGTGGACTCTGCTCTTAAGAATGATTTTTAAAACGATATCTTTATTGCCCTTGGTGTAAACAGGCCTTTACACTGAATTTGAGCAGAACATGCTAATTTACAGTATACTTGTATTTATTACTTTAAATAATTTGAATATCTCCATTCTGTCATCACTTTGCTACACAGGCCAATAATATCCAAACTTTTAAGCATTGCTGAGTGTCTGTGAATATGAGAAGGCACAATAAGCAACTGATTTTTAAAGAGCTCACATAGCTTCAGGGGCTGTTACGAAATATCAATATCATCTACAACTGGTTAGTATTTTAGAAAGCTACTATACATTCCCATTACTTGGAAGTCTGATGCATCTTTTAAAATTTTCATGTGGCATTTTGGTTCAGTGCAGCCAGCTGTTGGCAAATGGGACAGCACATGGAGTGTAAAGTTGAGGCAAAGAACACAGCAAACCCACAGTCTAGTTCATGCACAAAGTCACTACCATTACCAATGAGGGGATGTGCCAAGGGCCACAATACACTACATAAGATCTGGCTAATAGCTCTACTTCTGTACATGCTACATATCTTCAACCACTTTCTTCACAATTTAGACTGAATCCATCTGCTCGACCCTGAAACTCACTTATGACTCCTGACCACTGACAGTGGCCAGTTTCATCCTTCGTTCCTTCTATGATAAAAGTCACCCTTCAGTGTGGTGGTGAGCACTGTTTAATACTCTCCTCCAAACCTGGACCCACTACTTTTTCACACTTTCAAATGGAAATTTTTCCTTCCTGCTTAACGTCCCTCTTTCTCAAACACTAGGCATGCTTCATGCCTTCAAAACATCCCAAGAGTGAGAAGCACATCTAGATGGAAGCTGCCAGGTACTGAGGTTGTAGTTCATGCAGGAAGCCTGGGTTCAATCTTGAGAGACAAGTCATACAGTGTGTCTTCATCCATAATCAAGTTCTTATCCAGAAGATACTGTGTGACCTGGACACGAAAACAGTAGATTGCATGATTACAATTTAGAATGGAATTAGATTGCATAATAAATGTTTAAAGCAGTTTATAAAAACAATAGAAAGTACAGGGTGTCATGATTCATTTGAAGTCCAATATGCTCATATTTTTTTCATATGATATGTACGAGAAGAGTGATTTGTTCAGCTAGCTCCATCGCTGACAGAGATTCAAAACACTCAGTCTTTGGGTATTCAGCCTGGATGAGACAAACAGACACAAAATCAGCTCTTTATTGTGACAAGATGGCACTGTAAATGTACAAACAACTCCTCCTGATATTATAAATACTGCATATCTACAAAGTATTTTAAATTATGTTTTCATTAGTGTATCTGTTTTCCCTAAAAAAATGAGCAGGTGTTCATTTTTAGTAATTGAAATAATTAGTGCAAAAAATTGCATTATTTACTCTCCCTCAAGTCTTTCTTTCTTAGTGGAACACAAAATAATAAATGTTCATGCTGCTCTTTTCCATACAATGAAAATGAATAGTGACCAGGACTGTCATGCTTCATAAATAAATAAATATCATGGGCTGTATTCCAAGTCTTCTGAAGCCATATGACAAAAATATGTGAAGAACAGTATGAAATTTAAATCAATATTAACTGAAAATCCATTCACCATTCACTTTCATTATACAAGAAAGGGCAGCATAAACATTCTTTAAACATTCTTTAAAACATCTTCTTTGGTGTTACATGGAAGAAAGTAAGTCCTACAGGTTTTGAAATAAATAAGATTTTGCTTTTTTAGGTGAACTATCCCTTTAACAATGTAAACGTTCTATTCTAAGAACATTTGTACTTGTGACAACGTAACATTGTTTAATGCCAAAGTGCAAAATATCATGCTGATGCTGATATGACAGCTAGAAATTACACATTGTACGCATGTGAACTTATGAAAATCTATAATTAAACTGCCAATTAGTGATGAGTGACTGTTGGTTCTGTTTTCTTTGGCAGAGACACTTTTCAATTAACACAGTAGGTGAGGATTTTAGAAGCAAGATAAGGGTGTGTGTGTCCAGGCAACATGCATTACTAATCAAAACATGCACTTGCTCACACACACACACACACACACACACACACACACAAAACTGTACAGGCTCAGCCCTGATAATGCATGCTGTGTTTGTAATTAGTGAGCCCAGTATGCTGCTGCCAGCAGCACATTATATCATACAGCCGCGCATGAGTGTGTGAATACATTTATCTGCATATCTATCAACAACGGTGCATAAGAAACATTAAAATCAAGATGTTACTCACTCAAGTCCTCTTAAAACACAGATTACTGCATACAATATGCATTAAATGTACAGTATAAGCAGAGGAATAAGTGGAACTGACTGCAACAATATTAATAAACATGGACTACTCTCATCACATAAAATAATAGCTATTTTTCCTTCACTGCCAATGACAGAACAAGCAGAAGCCCTCCAAAACCATGCCTCTAAAACTGAAACTCAACAAATATCACTAGCAGGACTTTGAAATGTAATAGCATGATCATTTACAATAACACATGGATATTTCAGGAAGGAAATGCTCCTGAAAGGCTGTTTAGAGTGTGTTTTGGTGTGTGCTGGCTTTGTTGCATAGAGTTTGCATGTGGCGGACAGCAATAGGCGCTCCGTCTTGCTGTTTGAAGTTATAATTAGAGTCCTGCTGCTCAGAGATTTGCAGTTTGAACATGTAATTCGGTCCCTGAGTCCGATGCTGCCTCTGAAGCTGCCTCATGAGGCATGCCAAAATCTGCCTTCCCTCTGAGATCTCATCCTTAGGTGGCTGCTCAACAGTGATGTGAAACAGAGATATGATTTTAAGTGATAAGATATCTTCGGACATGTGAGACGTCTTATATCAAAGTGATTTTTATATCTTACATGATTTTTACAAGTCTTACATGAGCCTTGCTTTGAAACGGATGGTTTATGTTCTAAATTCTCATTGGAGGAGCCAAGTATGCATGTATGTATATGTCTGTTCCTCCGTCCATCTGATCATTCATATTTAATCACAGATGTGATGTAAATTAAAGTCTTTCAGCTATTTTGAAGGCCATTTCATTAGCCATTTCAATGTCCTGATTTAATAGGAAATAGTATTGGGACATTACACCAACAGGGACTTTAATGGCATAGAATACATAGATATTAATATGGAGTTGGTCCCTCCTTTGTAGCTATAAGAACTCCCACTCTTTTGAGAATGCTTTGCACAAAATTTTGCAGTGTTTCTGTGGTAATTTTTGCCCAGTTATTCCAGTAGAACATTTGTGAGGTCAGGCACTGATGTTGGACGAGACGGCCTGGCTCTCCAATTCAGTTCATCCCAAAGGTGTTCGATGGGTCGAGGTCAGGGTTCTGTATGGGCCAGTCGAGTTCTTCCACACTAAACTCATCTTCATGGACCTTGCTTTATGCACTGGGTCACAGGCATGCTGAAATGGAAAAGTGTTCCTAAGAAGTTGGATGCATAGCATTGTCCAAAATGTCTTTGTATGCTGAAGCATCACCCATCAGACTGCCAAACAGAGAAGTGTGATTCGTCACTCCACATAACAGGTTTCCACTGCTCCAGAGTCCAGTGGCAGCATGCTTTACACCACTCCATCTGACGCTTGGCATTGCACTTGGTGATGTGAGGCTTGCATGCAGCTGCTCAGCTATAGAAACCTATTCCATGAAGCTCTTCCCTCGCAGTTTTTGTGCTGACATTAATGGCAGTGGAAGTTTGGAACTCAGCTATGGAATCAGCAGAACGGTGGTTACTTTTACGTACCATCCACCCACTCTGTGACTTTACATGGTCTTCCGCTTCATGACTGAGTTGCTGCTGTTCCTAAATGCTCCCATTTTCCAATAATGCCACTTACAGTTGACAGTGGAATATCTAGCAGGGATGAAATTTCACAAACTGACTGAAAAAGGTGGCATCCTGTTACAGTACCACATTTGTAAATGCAGACTGCATGGTTAGGTGCTTTATTTTTATACACCTTTGGTCTGATTGAAACACCTGAATCCTGTAATTAAGAGGTGTGTCCCAATTACGTTTGAAAGAAAACTTAAGCTATTTCTTGTGCTTTATAAACATATGCAAAGGCTATAACTTATCCTCACCATCTGAAGAATGTCTTCAATCTTCAGCTGGGCATCGTCCTGGTCATCTTGAGAAAGGGCACTGGGAAGAAAAAGCCAACTTCCTTTAATCAGCTTTTAAGTTTGCCTTGAAAATAAAATCTCAAAAAAGATCTACATTTATATTTAAAGACTTTCAGAAAATGCTTTCATTTCATGTGTCCTTATGTAACCTGCCTTAATATGTTTGCTGTGGCTTTTCTCTCCTGGGGAAGAAGGTCGGGGTCTCTCAACACCTCCTCTAGCAGGCAGATCACACCCATCTTCAGCTCTCCATTCATTTCAAAGTCCTGAAACCCACCACACACACACACACACACACACACACACACACACACACACACATAGAATCATGATCCATAAACATGAGACACCCATGCATAATTTAAGTAAAGCAAAAACTGATGGGTTCACATCCCCAGATGACCGAAATCAACTACTGGGTGAATCCAAACTCATTTTCTTTATTTTAACTCATGTAGATTAATCTAATGCAGATTCTGTGCGTAGACTGAAAAATATTACTAATCAGTATTTTTGTGTAGTTTCTTTTGCAAGCATTTGTTTTCAGAGAACATATATTGAATTAAGGATATCAAATAAAAAAAGACAGAGAAATGTAGTCAGATTCTTCTTGTAGGGTAAAAAAAAGAAGATGAATTCAAGAACAGAACCAGTCTTAAGGCCTGTTCACACCAAGACTGATAACTATAATTATATTAGCGTCCACACCAGTGGATGATATCGTCTGTTTATTCCAAGCGCACACTTGTCTGCCACTTTAAATTCTCAAGCTCATTATAGCAGGTTTGATTCTGACTGGGTGTCAATGTTTTTCAGCTGTAAAACGTTCATCAGCTGGTAAAAATCATTCTGAAAGTGATTCCAACAATATAGTTTCTCTGTGCCTTTATCATTGTAGCTGTGCTGTGGACTCTGCTATTCTTTAATATTGAGAACGATTTTTAGAACTATGTCTTTATCGCCATCTTTATAGGTTTCGTCCTTGGTGTGACACAATTTGCTTTAAGCTTATTTGTCTTGTTTTAATGACGTTTATATATTTTTTACTGAAAAGCAAGAACAAAATACAGGTTAATACAAGTTTTAATGCAGTGTGAAAGTGTTGGTGTTTTAGATTGCACTCTCCATTAGTGCTCATCAGAAGATGTACTACCTCAGCTTTACAGTTTCCCAGTGCACTAATCAACAGCTAACCCAGCCTTTCCTCTGTCTCTCTGTGCCTGCAAGCACTGCAGGTGGGTGGCTAATCTCTTGTGTCACAGTTAAAGCATTCTTCAGTTCTGGCTTCATAAAGCCCCGCATCTATTAAACAGTCAGTGTTCTTCACTCTTTTTTCTCCATTCACTTTAGGTTTATTGTTGAAATAATTTGGCCATCGGGACCAAAGCATTCCATAGTTTGATCCATCCATGTTCATACCATCTGTGTTTAGAGCACTTTCATCAGCCAGTTTTGAGCTTACTAATAATTCCTGATCCTGACATGAAAAATGTAAATATTCCTCTGCTAAGGGACAGTCATCCAAAATAGCATAAGTGACATGATTTAAACAAACCAATAAATTAGTACATAATATTCAGTGCAGCCTTTCAAATGCAAATGCATAAAGCACTTGAGCGCTTGTGCTGTGTTGTTCTCAGAGTATAAGTACCCTTATGTTTGATATGCTAGACTGTAGTTAGCATAATGGGCAACTCACTTGCTTATTCCTGTTATGCAGTACAATTTTATGTCCCCTTTATACAGTATATGTCTGAATAAAACATTAAATTTACCCTTTTAAAGTTTTTTTTTTTTTTTTTTACTTTCCTAAGAGATATTTTCCAGATATCTTCCTTAAAATAGAAACTTTAAAACGAAGCAGGACCAGATCAATTGAATCATTTCTGATGATTCTGTGAGGTTTCTGCACTTATTGGTATAATTGGTGGACCATCTTGGACCAGCAAACAAGTTACTATGTTACAAAAACCTACTTAAGCTGTTATAACCTGGGGCCTTTGAACATATATTGACTAAATACTAATCTGAATTCAACAAGTAGTACCAGATCGTAGCTGTTTCTGTTTGTCAGTTTGTTTTTGTTATGAAAATGGTATAAGGAGAAAGATGATGTAAGCATCTGATAGAGGATGAGAGAGATGAAATGGCAGTGCAGGGTCTCTGGGCTTATTAACAGTGCAGCTGAATTCTCAGTCCTCTTATTCCCTTGTGGGGGTTTTCAAAGAGATTCAGCAGCCTGCAATAAATGCTTCTGGACCCAATAGTGATTTACACTAAATCATAATGTAGCTGGTACCATTTTACTGTGATAGCTGCTTATTCCAGTTTTGTCCCTAGAGTAACAAAAAAAAGAACCCAATAGTACCATGGCAATGCCGTGATTTATTAGACATAGTATCATGTCAGTGTTGTTATTAAAATAATTAATTTGAATTGAAATAAAGTTGGAATAAATTAAAATATTAAAGTAAATGTTATAAACATTAGATGATATTAGATGAAAAGCCTTAAACGGACATTAGAAATGTTGCCCTGGCAAACATAAGAATAGAATTTTACTAAATTTAAAAGAAAGCTTAATGGAAATAGTGAAAAAAAATCTTACAATAATATATAAATAATCCTAAAACAATAATGTATCATAATATGATATGATATGTAATAATACTTTGAAGTGCTTTTGAGCAACTCCCTACTATCAGCTGAATATTTCACTTGTCTCCCTAGACAACTAGTATTTGTAAACATTCCTCTTCTTGTGTTTCTCTCATTCGCATCTTTCACCTGTGCAACCATAAAGGTCACTTCTAACAAGCTCTGTCTGTGTGAGTTTGTCAGGCCGTTCTTAACCTAAACTGACAAAGGGTTAAAACAGATCAATGCAATTAGCCCACACTTTGCCTTCACTCAAACAAAGCGAAGTAAATTGAAAAATAGCTGCTTATTTCAGAAGGCCATTATGAGAGACTGTTTCCACTGTAGCAGATAATTATGTTGGCTGTGTGTGAGATCCTGTGACTGTGTGTGTGTATGTCTGTGTGTGTGTGTGTGTGTTTTTCTTTGAACAGTTGTCAATATTAATGTTATAATATCCTATGCTTTTGAGCTGAAAGTTGAAAAGTTGAAAGTTGGCAGAGCCTGAAATGATATTTTATCTCTATGAGCTAATGGGCGTAATATAATACAGATCAATATGACGACTATATGGCTTTACAGCTGAAAGCAAGCCAAGTACTGCTGAAAATACCTGAATCAATACATATACAAGTGTACAGAGAGAAACAGTAAGGCCATAAAGATGCAGTAAGGCCATAAAGCATGGCACATGGTAGATTTGAACACATACCACAATTCATTTAACAATTTCCTCCAACTACCAATGAAACAATTACCCAAAATTTACAATTTTCTGAAAAATTTACTCTCAGACCATTCAAGATGTACATTTTGGTGTAGAGTTTGTTTCTTTATTGGAACAAACTTTGGTTACACTTTATTTCGATAGCAGGGAAGGAGAAAGAGAGGCTGATGAGGGTGACAACTACTGCTTTAGGTTTGTAGTGACACGAAATGTGTCATCTGCTGTTCGGTAAGACGATGTCAGCTACAGAAGAACTAATGCTGATGGACAGACCTGTGAGTGTTTGGAGACCCAATGGCGCAGGACATTCAGGACTCTGTTGGTAGCCGCACAACGTATAATGAACTCCTTGTCACAAGTCCGCTCAGAATTGCTAAAAACTGCAAAGGAAAATACATACCGTAAGGGTAATACAAACAGTCCTGTCATTTCAAAATGTAAAACCAATGTGAATATAGATTACATGATCAACAGCTTACTCTAATATATGCTATATACATTGCCTTGCAAATTAAACATCCATTTTTTCCCCCACATTTTAGACCCACATTCCGATCAAACCCTTTAATATTTTCACATTTTGTTAGGCTGATATATAAAAGTACTAATGCAATTATGATGGTATTTAGTAGGATGAGAGAATGTTAGTTTATGTAGGTAAGAGGATAAATTTTTTTTGACAGTTTAATCTAAGAAAATTATTCCTTAATTCAACATGTAAATCTTGAGCCTGCTTTTCCTGTTATGATTTTAAATACTCTGCTGATAATGAAAAAGCTACTAGAGCTGCAGAAACTGCAACAGCTTTATGTGTAAAGTGAATTTCAATTTGTGAACATAGTAGAGGGTCTACAGCATTCTGAGGCAAAGGGCAGAGCATATGAATATGTGCGCTTCTCTTGGGTTTTGTCAGTGGTGCAGTGTACCTGGAGGGCTGCTGTGTCCAGCTGCTGCTGTGGCGATAGCAAATGCAGAGGCTGGAGAAACGGAGCAGCGCGAGTTCTCAGCTGACTGGACTAGAAAAAATAATATGGAGAACAGATTTAACAACTATAATTTTTAGGGGGAAAAAGTCACTCAAAAATTCTTTCAATATTTATTCACTCTTGAGTCATATTTCCCATGAACACAGAGAATCTAATAGTTCATTTATTTATTTATTTTTAGGTTGGACCTTAATAACATCAAATGTCATTAGATCCCAAGTGTCTCATAACCACATGCCATGATGTCAAACATCCATCATATTTGGTGAATCGTTTTATGGAACAATGGCTTAATTTTCAGTTTCTTCATCACACAAAACTATAGGATGAACTACTTTATTGAACTACTTTTAAAGTATTTTTGTCCAATTTAGCTTGCTAGCTCCTGGTCACTATGGACTTATTGTATGGGAAATACTAATGTTAATACCATTTTAAAAATTATTTTTAGTGTGTGTTCCACTGGAAAAAACAGCATAGGGGTTTGGAATGACATTAGGGTAAATAAATAATGACAGAATTTACCCTTGACTTCCTCAATGGACGTGTAGTGCAGTATTTACTGTACGCGTAGCAAAGCCATAGTTATCTCATAACCAGTCCTTCTGACAATCTAGTGGTCATACTTCAAAATGAAAGAAAGTTTTGAAAAAATTCCCCCTTTATTCAGCCAGTAACTGAGTGAACATGTGGAAACTGCTTTTCATGGAAACTGAGAGAGCAGACATAGTTATAAATCATATACTGTATATCTACTGTCAATTGCTTATGCTGAACAAAATGAAGATGCTAATGATACCCAATACAAACAGTCTGGATGGAACAACAGCTGCACCAATCAGAACCAATTATGTGCTGGTGGAAGTCCCGTATAATTTACTCCTGTCCCAACTCTCCCCATATATGGCTTCATTTAATGTCATCCAAGCACAATATTTGACTGTTTCAGATCCAAGATTGTGACTGTGGCCATTTAGTAACAGAACTGGACTTTATGGAGGAATGCACTGAGTATGTTTCGCTTGAGGAACCATCAGGAATGTCGCATGCTTTCTCCTCTAAAATGCAAATTGAAAACATTAGACACATAAAACTGATCTAAGCCCAGTATAAAAGCAACTGCATGTCCCATTAGCTATTTAAAACATGCAATAGGACTTCACAAAGTTATCTAGTCCAGCTTTATTTTATTAAATTACGGTCAAATCTTCATTTTTGTTTTATTATGGAAAAAACAACAATACTGGAATGAATGTGTTTCATTCACACAAGTATCTATATTTCTCTCAGAAAGTCATAACTCGCTACTGTGTTTGACTCTATAGTTGTTCTCGGAAGAGGCCTGCACTGCCAAGGGAGCCAAACACAAACAGACACGTACACGCTTACCTCCTGACTGTCTGAAGCGGAGGTGGCGTGGAGTGGAGGGTGAGCGGCAGGGAGAGATTTCTCCTGGTTCACTCCCTTGTGGCGACTCTGGAATAAATTTGTCCAAAGACACTGACTCCAGCACAGCTGAGGGGAAAGTCATACCCTTTATTAAAACGGATCATAGAACCCCTCCTTGAAAAATGAATGGTTTTAGGGCAACAGCTCTACAAACAGAGCAGAAAGCAGGGAACAGCAAATAACTATGGCCAGGGAGTTGCTATGTGGATGCTGGGGGGTCTGGGTGGTTGTTGGATAGGTCGTTGATACAGTGATATGAGAGGGTGCATGGTGGTTACATACTGACACAAGTAAAAAAAAAAAAAAGTTAACTCTAAGCAGGGTTATTACACAGCAACAATTTAAGGGTGGTTGATTGCGATTTCACTTTTTTAACATTAGTTAGTGTGTAATGTTGCTGTTTGAGCATAAACAATATCTGCAAAGTTGCGGCGCTGAAAGTTTAATGCAAACGGAGATATCGTTTTTTTTTAATTCTGGCAGTTTAATGCCTACAAAAACGGCTCGTAGGAACTACAACGAGTTACTTCCCGGGTTCGGGACGTCACAAACCCAGATAAACCCCGCCCTCGGGAAAAGGCAGCAAAGAGGGCGAGGCCATGCTGCGCTGCTTTAGAGAAGAGGAAGAGAAAACTAGAGGTGCACGTAAAAATCTATTCATATATGAATCACGATTCTGTCTTCTAACGATTCTAATGGATTCACAAGTTTCAAAATCAATGTTCAAAAGCAGCGGTTCTAATCCTGTTCCTCGCGTCGCCCTGCTGCACACGCTCTGCTCTGCATCTCTCTCTCAATCTCTCACTCAGATCATCAGCTCAGCTCCAACAATGAACTGTTCTAATTATACACTTATTTTCACATAGCTATAAGAAGCATTATACATAGACGCGCGTGTGGTTGCCGTACTGTATTAAAGCTTTAATCAGGATAAAACCGTATATCAAAAGCTAACAGAAGCAGTAGCATTTACAAATTACAGCGGATCTAAAAGTATGAGACAACAACAATCAAAAAACATACTGCGTGATCCTCTTCACTAATATCCTCTGTGTCTCAATTGGGCTCAAACTGATAAGCAATATAGACGATGCCATTGTTTACAATACAACCGAAGCACATGCCGCTGAGGTGAGGGGCATGACATTTGGACGTGCACTAGAGGCGGTTTAGCCAATCACAACACACTGTACTAGCTAACCAATTTGAGCAGGAAATGATCAGCGCGTTTATGGGAGAAGGGACAGAGCGGTGTAGAATAAAGGTAAATTACGTGAAAAATAATGCTTTTTTTTTTTTTTAAACGAAGCATTAACACATGTTAGACTGCACCCCATAAACACAATCAAGCCTAGAACAAAAACAGTCAACCACCCCTTTAAAGAATTCTGCCAAATTTTACCTAATTTCAATGTTTGTCAGTGTTTGGATGTCGTAAAATCTGGGTCATGTTTGCTTTTTCTTCTGTCACTAGCCATATCACTAGCCATATTTCTAACTTTGAAATCAGTAGTATAACAGGCACAAATCGGATGCGTTCATACATGTAAAAATGGTCAGAGAATTGAACAAACAGCTGTACCCTGGCTCAGAGGAAGCTGGAACCATGTCTTTGTGTCATTTTTTCTGGTGATTATTGGATGATACAAGACTTCATTATGAATAGGCTGAAAGGGAAAATGCTACAAAAATGCATATCATATTCTGTGAGAAACTGTGATGCACTACAGCAAAACAGGCACTATTTGTTTTGGAATCAGCACCCCAAAATGAATTAAAATAATAAATAAATAAAATGTTGGATTTCATTCAGTAAATATGATGCAGGGTGGTGTTATAGTTAACTAAAACTTAAATAAAAATAAATAAAATTAAATAAATAAAAAAATTAATAAATTATAGACTATATAGACATATTTAAAGCTAATAAACTAAAACTAATAAAAATGACAAAAAAATTCATTGTAACTAACATTAAAATTAAAAATATAAAAATAAAAACTAATTCAAACTATTAACAAAAACTATAATATCTCAATCTACTAAAATAACATTACCCCTATGTGTATATGATATTCTGGTCCATAAATACAATTGGAGACATACTGTATGTAAGCAAATAATTTTTTGCCTGGTTTATCTTTCGACAGACATTGATTTAATAATTTGGGCTATCAGTTTGTAACAAGGTACATCTGTGACAGAAAAATATTACTCGATAATAAATCCTCTATGTAGGCTCTCTCAAAACATTTGACTTTTATAAACGTAGTATTTGCTCCCTGTGGCGGAGACAGATTATCTCGTTACTGAGATCAGAAAAACTCAAAATGACAGTAAAATCGAAAACAATAAAATAATCGCATAATTTTTTTCCCTTTTTTTTAAAGAGAGATATTGATTGGGCTGTGATACAAAAGCAAACCAGAAGAGATCCTCTTAGCAGGTTTAATGTGGCTCATCTGATGCAGTGTTAAAGCTTACTATTAGTGCTAATGGTTCACAATAAGAACTCAGAATGTGGTGGATTTTATAGCAGAAAGAGGGAAAAACAACACAAGCACATCTCTTTAAACTAGCAAACACAAGAAGCAAACTTTTAGTAGTTCGCACACCACACATCCTAACCAAAGTCACTCAAAGATGCCCATTTTCAATACAAAAATTGATCCTTTGAGTGTTTCTGAACAAAGCAAGCGCTTTATCATTTGGTTTAGTTTCAAACATGCCTGCTTCTCATTCCGAGCTGCCTGGCTGCCAGTATAACCACAAAATTATGGGTGTTTCGCCAAATATCTCAAGTCTTCTGTTTTGCATTAAGGAGGCACACAATGCAAGTATGTTTGCACTTTATTTGCGCGTGGATTTTATGTGGAGACAGGAGAATGTTGGTCAGACTAATAGCCTATAAAAGAAAATAACACATTTGTTTGGCCGTCAAGTTATTATAATGAAGTGGTTTTCAATGTTATTTGGAGCAGCTACAGATATCTTTCCCACAATATTCACTCTGCCAGCTTTTAAAAAAGCAAAAGCCAGCTAATGAAGTTCGTATTCATGAACATCCATGTTACATCCAGCCAGTGTGTTGACCTACTTCCAACATCTCACCACTGCTCTATTCTAAAACCTAGTGGGCTGCCTACAGAAGGATAAAAAAATCTTAATTATACTTAATTAGATGCCTTGTTTAAGCCATATTATAATCCTCTTATGTAACCTTCCTTGAAAAGGCAGTGCCAAAATGCATTTTGATAAGCTTGGTGAAAAAGTAAGTCCAAGATGGTGGATGAAGCAAGATACATTTTAATTTTAAATGATAAATCTTAGATTCCATTCAGAGCTGAAAAGTATAATCAAGTATAAAAAGTATATCACTTTAGTGTACTTATAAATGACCAAACATTTGTGTGCACTATATAATTTTAAGAGAGAGTTTCCTGATGCGAACCGGAGAGGAAGTACGGGATGGGATGGAGAGAGGTGGAGGAGATGAGAACTTGCGACACAGTCTGGGGGATTTGTCATTTACGTGGTCCCCGCTGCGGTTGTTCTGGTTGGTGGCGAAGAAAAGCTCCAGGGATCTGAGTTGTGGAAACAACATTGAATGAAGGGGCATAAATGGCAGAGCAACACCGGCACATCTCTCATGTTCTCTTCTCCATACTTGCATGCTCCAAGTACACTAAACACTCGCCAAACAGTGTGTTGGATGCATTCTACGTGTGGAAACACATTAGGAGTATTGATTGCAGCTTGAGAACAACAGTAACAAAGCAGGTAAACATTGCAAGATGTGAAATCTGCAATGGATGATAGCATTTGTGCAAGTGCAGAAGTTTTGAGAATCCAGGATTCAATAAAATCACATATTTGTAACTGCCAAAAAAGAGAATAAAGACAAAAACGCCAAAAGTGAAGAAAAACAGAGTGGAAAATGTGAGAATATAAAGTAGAAAAATGGACAGAGATGAAAGTGAATCGGTAACAGAGAGATGGGTTTGTTACTTTGACTGATCCAGTGCTATCTTCCTGATCTTCAGGCTGTAGTCTGGGCAGATGGATGTAATGGACAAGCGGTCAAATGAGTGATACTGGACCCTGTGTGACAGCAAAGTAGGTGTGGGGATGAGGAACATCAGAGACAACACATTAAACGTCACATCACTCACAATGACCACAAGCATCTGCACACGAGGTACACAGGCTGCGATAGCCTTCTGCACAAGCATACTGAACATTCAAGGAAAATGGAGGAGGAATAGCTGAGCACTTTAAGGCTTTCTGAACTGCTTTTTAGGTAAAGGTTACCAAGAGTGCACCAATTTAACTTGGCAGAACACCTGCTTTTGGAACAGAAAACATTCTTCCATTTGAAAGAACAAATGTATGCAGAGATATATGCCCTACTCACTCTTACTCACAGTCACAGCATACACCTAGTGATTTCTTTCACATATTTCAATCACACAGAGCATTTGAGTGTGAATATATGGTATTATTTCAAAAGGATTTGACAGGCCACAATGTAGAAAACTGACTATGATCCAACAAGTTTCCAGAGACAAGCCATTTGCCTGTCTACACAAAATATAAAACTGCAGTGTGACGTAATACAGTTATAGCCATTCAGAAGATATTTATGTGGAGCAGGACCAGTGAGATCTCTCTATGGGCACTTTAAATGTGATTTCTTCTCAGGGTGCTTTAAATATAATTTCTGATTTCTTTAACTATAGAACTGGTTGTACTGGCTACAATATATTGAATATATACAACTGCAATTTTTTATTAAAGCCCATAAAAACAGATATGAGATCTGATTAAAACTTTGGAAGTAAAAACGGTATTAGAGTTGGTTACTGTCGAAACTGTCCGTTTCAATGCATCAGTTGTGTTTTACTGTATATTACTTGCATTAAAGATTTGAAATCTACTCGACAACAACATGCTTGGTTAAACTGATGGACTGAAAAAAAAACATTTGTGACCCTGGACCCTGGACCCTGGACCCAAAAAAAAGTCATAAGTCACACGGGTATATTTGCGTGACGTAATACAGTTATAGCCATTCAGAAGATATTTATGTGGAGCAGGACCAGTGAGATCTCTCTATGGGTACTTTAAATGTGATTTCTTCTCAGGGTGCTTTAAATATAATTTCTGATTTCTTTAACTATAGAACTGGTTGTACTGGCTACAATATATTGAATATATACAACTGCAATTTTTTATTAAAGCCCGTAAAAACAGATATGAGATCTGATTAAGACTTTGGAAGTAAAAACGGTATTAGAGTTGGTTACTGTCAAAACTGTCCGTTTCAATGCATCAGTTGTGTTTTACTGTATATTACTTGCATTAAAGATTTGAAATCTACTCGACAACAACATGCTTGGTTAAAATGATGGACTGAAAAAAAAACATTTGTGACCCTGGACCCTGGACCCTGGACCCAAAAAAAAGTCATAAGTCACACGGGTATATTTGCAGCAATAGCTAAAAATACATTGTATGGGTCAAAATTATCAATTTTTCTTTTATGCCAAAAATCATTGTTATTAAGTAAAGGTATTTTGTAAATTTCCTACCGTAAATATAGCTAAACTAAATTTTTGATTAGTAATATGCATTGCTAAGGACTTAATTTGGACAACTTTAAAGACGATTTTCTCAATATATAGATTTTTTTGCACCCTTAAATTCCAAATATTCAAATAGTTGTATCTCGGCCAAATATTGTCCTATCCTAACAAACCATACATCAATGGAAATATTATTTATTCAGCTTTCAGAAGATGGATAAATCTCAATTTCAAAAATTTACCGACTGGTTTTGTGGTCCAGGGTCACATTTAAGTTAATTCAGAGAAAAGAGACAAAAACTGAGATATACAGTATATATTTTGGACATTGAAAGAAAAAAGGCTGTAAAATATACAGTAGATAAAAATTTTTTTTATTTGCATTACCCAGTTCTAGCAGTGACTTATGTATCTCGGCCAAATATTGTCCTATCCTAACAAACCATACATCAATGGAACTATTGTTTATTCAGCTTTCAGAAGATGGATAAATCTCAATTTTGAAAAAATTGACCCTTACGACTGGTTTTGTGGTCCAGGGTCACATTTAAGTTAATTCAGAGAAAAGAGACAAAAACTGAGATATACCGTATATATTTTGGACATTGAAAGAAAAAAGGCTGTAAAATATACAGTAGATAAAAATTTTTTTTATTTGCATTACCCAGTTCTAGCAGTGACTTTTAACCCCTTTAAGAGCTCTATTACCTGACTGGTATGGATGTGAAAGGCTTCTTGTAGATGTCAGCCAGTTTCTCCATGACCACGGTGGCGGTGGTGAAGATTCGGTAGGTGTGCAGGAACGTGTTGAGGAAGTCTATGGAGAGGAAGCGCAGGTCGGTCAGCCTCTCCAGCAGTCTCTCCACGCTGGCGTAGCGGATCTGAGGAACCTTGCAGGAGTTGAGCGTCTTACTGAAGCAAATGTCAACATCATCTTTATGGAGACGCGCATCGGATCTAATGAGGAGCACAACCAAAGCATCTTTACTCTCTGTATGCTGTACATTTATGTCATGAAGCATTAGTGGAGATGTACTGATATAATTTTTTCACAGTTGATAGTAATTGTAGCTAAATATGTTAACTAGCTCATAACAAATGTAACTTAGACTGTAGAGTAATAATAGTAACATATACTTGAAACTTGTGGTTATAAAGTGGAATATTAAAACTATTTAAACTCAAATCAATATTTCATTTCTATATTTATTTCAAATTATGTAAAAAGTGCAAATGCAATAAGCAAGAAACAGCCAGTTGGTCATTATAGCAAATTGGGGTCCTGATCATCCAGCTGGGCTGACTGTACATTCTCACTTACATCATACATTTTTTATTTTAAATAAATAAATACATACATACATGATCATTATTCTTTGCTTATGGTCCTTTTTTGCCAGTGGTAGTCAATCACATGGACAGTTGCACTGAAATACTGTAATGCTTTCTGGACTGGTATTGCCAACATATTTTCCAGCATGGAGGGAAATTAGTCCCGGATGGTTGCTCTTATTGTAGTGTGCTCACTGTCACAGCAGTATTTAGCTTGGACAGATGCGTATGCACATGTGCAAGGAGCCAGCACTAAGGGCTTCAGTGCATGTTCACTGGGCCAGCTGATGCATTTTTGTGCACTTAAAATTTTGAAGGATTACTCATTTCAAAACAGTGATTTTTGGCTAGTTGAAATATTATTTTTAGGAATTCTGTCTTTTACTAAATGCTTCTATAATTACAAAAACACTGACCCATAGCAATTAAAACACACATTATTTCACAATAAACAAAGGTCTGCCTTACTTGATCATGTGTGGCACTGTGACTTTTGAGTTCTCCTCAAACACGCTCGTCATCAGGCCATTACAGCGGATGTTATCGATACACTATATAGAGCAGAAATTCAAATGAAGAGAGGGATCAAGCCAAGGAGCAGAGAACAGAGGACAACATAATCTAATATGTCACTAAACACTGGACATACTGCAATTTCTTTCTTTGAGACTGGGGGATTCAAGCACAGAGAGATGTCTCTTGTGGGTTCATCAGTAAGCCAGGTTCAGTCCACAAGTACAAAGTGATCCCCTTCAGGAACAAGTCTTAACCTCATGGCTCATGGTGTGAAGTTTCAGTGAGGTGGGTGTTAGTTATTATGTTCCAGTTCTTCTGTAGAGCCATTATAGTTTTGTTTTTTAAAGGCTACAGGGAATTTGTATGGTTCAGAGTAATTGCACAAACTATAGATGAGATGTCAGGCACTGTTATCTTTTTATTTTTTTATTACGGTGTATGCCTATAATCAACAGGAAACTAGAGAGACAGGGTCGTATATCGTTGAATATGAAAAATGAAGCAAGCTAGATACTAAAACTTCATCTCCAGCATGTGCATTAACAACCAAGCCACAACACTGACCAAGTTTATCAGTGAGCATATACAGAATAATAATACATACACTACAAATCAAAAGTTTTTTGTTTTGTTTTTTGTGAAAAAGAGTCATGGTTTCCACAAGAATATTAAGCGGCACAAATGTTTTCAACATAGCTAATAATCTTTTTTTGTTCGTTTTTTGAGCACCATATCAGCATATTACAATGATTTCTGAAAGATTATGTGACACTGTAGACTGGAGTAATGGCTACTGAAAATTCAGCTTAAATAAATTACAATTTAAAATATGAGTGTAAAAGACTTTTCACAAACATTAAAGGGATAGTTCAATCAAAAATGACAATTCTGTCATTAATTATTCACCCTCATGTTGTTTCAAACCTGCAAGATCTTCGATCATCTTCGGAACACAAATTAAGATATTTTTGATGAAATCCGAGAGTTTTCTGATCATAGACAGCAAAGCAACTGACACATTCAAGGCCTAGAAAGGTAGTTGTCACGTGTATGCTCCCGTTGAGTTCCGGTTTTCCTTATTTGGTCTTTCCTGTTCCTGTCCCATGTAGTTTGATTAGTTCCAGGTGTCTCCCATTATTAGTTATCCTTCTCACCTGTCTGCCCCTCGTTATCTGCCCTATTTAGTTCTAAAGTTCTATTTAGTTTCTTTGTCTGGAATTGTTTGTGTCTACAGTGCTACGTGTGTTTTCCTGTTTCATTTGGATTTATTAAAGACTTTGAATATGACATTGCCTCTCCTCGTTCCTCACTCCGTGCTCCTCACAGTGGCACCGCGGACAGAATTCCAGACCCAAAACAAAAGTAAGCGGCGCCTTTTCTCCCTGCGTTTATTTTCTGTTTTTTTCAAAGAAGTGTTTTGCTTTTCCTGTTAGTTTCTCCCTGGTATAATGGAGGAATGAGCTAAGTTAATCGCCATGGCTCAGGCGAACCCCGACCCGAAACCCTCAAGACACTGTTCCGGATCAGGATTACTTACCATTGTCCCGCGGAGCTCCCAGACACCACCAACCTCGAGTGGAAGGATGCCGTCATCTGGAGAGCCTCCGATCCCGATCCGGGACCCATCTGCCGGCCGTCCCCGAGTCAAGCAAGCCGGCCGTTCTTCAGTCAAGCCCGCCAGACGTTAATGTGGCAAATCCGCCGGACTATAATATGGCAAGCCGTCTTAACATTAATATGGCGAGCCCACTATGTGTTCATGAGGCCCCAGTGTCGGCTCCAGCTCCTAAACTCACTCCAGTGCCAGCTCCTCGAAAGCGCTTTGCTGTGCCTGCTCCTCCAGAGCACCCTCCAGTGCCAGCACCACGTAAGCACTACCCAGTTCCCGAGTCAAGCCCACGGAGGGCTCCTGATCCCGAGTCAAGCCCACGGAGGGCTCCTGATCCCGAGTCAAGCCCACGGAGGGCTCCTGATCCCCCATTCAGCCCAGGGAGGGCTCCTGTTCCCGAGTATAGCCCAGGGAGGGCTCCTGTTCCCGAGTATAGCCCAGGGAGGGCTCCTGTTCCCGAGTATAGCCCAGGGAGGGCTCCTGTTCCCGAGTATAGCCCAGGGAGGGCTCCTGTTCCCGAGTATAGCCCAGGGAGGGCTCCTGTTCGGGATAGCCCCCGGGGGGCTCCTGATCCCGAGTATAGCCCCCGGAGGGCTCCTGATCCCGAGTATAGCCCACGGAGGGCTCCTGTTTCCCAAGTATAGCCCACGGAGGGCTCCTGTTTCCCAAGTATAGCCCACGGCGGGCTCCTGTTTCCCTATTCATGGTCACGTGGGCACAGGTGATCACTTCTGTTTTCTTTATTACTTTTGTTGGATTGTTTGTTAGGTTGGAAGGGGCGAGGAGCGGGAGCCAACTTTCTGTTGACTAATATTAGCGGCATCCAATAGTATAGCCCCCGGAGGGCTCCTGATCCCGAGTATAGCCCACGGAGGGCTCCTGTTTCCCAAGTATAGCCCACGGAGGGCTCCTGTTTCCCAAGTATAGCCCACGGCGGGCTCCTGTTTCCCTATTCATGGTCACGTGGGCACAGGTGATCACTTCTGTTTTCTTTATTATTTTTGTTGGATTGTTTGTTAGGTTGGAAGGGGCGAGGAGTGGGAGCCAACTTTCTGTTGACTAATATTAGCGGCATCCAATCACCACATAGAGCCTAGGTAGTGGGCTCGTAACTCGTATTACATTGGTCTAATGTTTCATATGCTTTAATAAAATTCAAAAGCAAGTTAAGATCATCAGTCTTCCTTTGAGATAATGACCACGTGTGAACCAGTCACAAGCCCACTACCTAGTCTCTATGTGGCGATTGGATGCTGCTAATAGACCGTTTTAACGATGTCTTTACTACCTTTCTGGGCCTTGAACGTGGTAGTTCCCTTGCTGTCTATGGAGGGACAGAAAGCTCTCAGATTTCATCAAAAAGATCTTAATTTGTGTTCTGAAGATGAACTAAGGACTTACAGGATTGGAACGACATGAGGGCGAGTAATTAATGACAGAATTTTCATTTTTGGGTGAACTAACACTTTAAAAAGATGGCCAACCCCAAACTTTTGAATGGTAGTGTAAATGATAAAATACCCATGAGCAATTGACTGTAACCGCAGAGGAGGAGCTGTTGGTTACATGCGGCTTCTCTCTCACCTGGCTGATGTCGCTGGTCCAGGCCGCTTTCTCCTGACGGGATGGTGCCAGCAGCACCACAGTGAAGGCAGGAGCATCTGAGGGCTCGACCACAATCTTAAAGTCCAGGTGACCAAACACCTGCCCTGAATTCTTAGCTAAAAACAGACAGAAGCTTACAATTAAATATGAATCATACTCGAAAAGCCTAATTTACCAGTCCCGAGGGACCACTCAGGAAAACAATGGCAATAAAAACTAATTAAACTGAAGGAAACTCTTCTTAGTAACATAATAATAACATAATAACAATTTAATGTTTATTAAATAAGCTCTTAGGGACCATATTTAGGGATCACGAGAGGGTCACTGTGATGCAGTTTTGAATTAGCCCTTGGGTCTCTTTATATACCCTCAAGTGGATAATCAATCCATGACCATTATCATCTCTGCCCATTTGACATTTAAACAGCAGGTAGTTTGGACACTTTTCTGGCATGTCTATAATAGTTAATTAAGCTGCAGTATATGAATAATGGCCAATATATAGCTAATGATGCATGTCTCCACTCATCTGTGCTGATGTGTTTGAAAATGTGCGTCAAAGAAACAGGCTCACCGTCTTCGTCGTTAGCGTCAGGCTCCTCGATGAGAGTGCACTCAATCAGGGACAGCACACCACCTTGCTGCCAGAGTCAAACCATTAGGTTGAGAGGTTAATCACAAAGGGAGAGTTTCCTGATATTGATGGTTTGTTAGAATAATGGCTTTGTGATGGATCTCATGTACAAATACATTTCAAAGGTGTTTTCCAAAAGCCTTTGTAGTGCTTTCTTATAAATCTTTTGCTGTGGCGATCACCAAAGAATTAAATAACTGGTAATTATTTAGCTAGATAACAAAAACAAAGTGTTTTTGAGAAAACGAAAATTGAGAAAACAACTTGAGATTAGTTAATTAGTACATCAAACAAATTAGTAAATATTTTGTACTGCATGGTCAAATTGTGTATGAACTCATAGCTTTACTGGAGTTGCATTATAGTTCATTTCCAGTAATTACTGCAAAATAGCAAATTGTTTTATGTTGCAAATTAATTCAATATTAACAAAAAATACTGTATAACTATATTATTATGATGCATATAAAGCAGAGTTCTGCATGCGGACGGGTGATTGGCTTTATATTAATCAGGATTATATCAAATTAAATATAATTTAATTGAAGAATACATAACAGCAGAATTCTCCTGTGATTTATGTATTTACACTGCTAGACTGTTAGTACACAAACTAAATAAACTGTATTAAGAGATTTTTTTAAACCCTCTTAGATCCTAAGATCTAAAACCTATTTGAAGCTCACAAGGAAATTCAGCTTCAGAAATTGTGCCTGAGGACTGACCCAGTCAATTAAGCATGTCGCTAAGTGTGAGAGGAGTAATACACAAAATCCGGACAAGGGCTGTAGAGACTGAAGGAAATGAACAGGGGAAGCTCAAACCTCATCACACATGATTAACCTTTTGACATGATTACAATTCTCAAATATTTGCTGCCCGGTTATTGATCATCAGGGGTTTGCGTTATAATCACTATGCTCTAGCTGACCTGTCAATACATTCAACACAGAACGGAATACTTTTTTTTTTAGTTACTGATGTGCAGTAAAATGGCATTTTCATTTGCAGTACTCAGAGTGCATGTGTGTCACGTACTTTGAGCAGGTGAAGTTTGCCTCCTGAGCTGCGTGTGCAGATAAGGAAGTGCTTGGTGAAGAGGAAGCACTGTCTCTCCCCTTCCTTTTTGAGTGAGAGAGAGCCTAGACGCACCTTACTGAGCTTCCCTCTCTCCACTGAGGGCAACTGGATCAAAGAGCCTGAGAGAAAGACATCAGGAAAGAGAGAGAGAATTTAAAACTATTAATAGAGTGACACAAGAGAGCAACAACAGCACAAATGATAAATGAAGATCAAAGACACCTTTACCACTGAACAAAAGATTACAAGAAGAAAGGGACCATGGGAGATTTTTAATCAAGTGACAGAAATCATAAGGAATCATATTCAGAAATGATAAACCACAGTCCAAAAAAAAATTTATTCATTTGTCCATACAAGTAATATATTTAGGACAACACAATAATAAAAAGGGAATCTATTTACTTTATTAAATCACTTTATTAAATTGATATCACACTTTTTTAATAAAAAATTTAATGTTTTTTTGCTAATTTATAATTTTAACAAATTGTCTTTTTTCTGTTCTTATTTATTTATTTTTGCATATATTCATGTATATATTTTAGTTGCTAGTTTCCCCACCCTCTTTCTTACATTTGAGCAAATAAGATACCATTCTAAACATATACACACACAATTTTTGTATATATTTTTTCACAATTTTTTTTTTCTTTAAGATATCTAAATAAATTCATCTTATGCTTAGAGAGTTCATGGGTTAACGTTTCAAGAGGAGAAAAATGATCTTTCCTAAGGCCACATTTAAAAGGCTGGAGAGACTATTTTGACAAGAAAGTCAAGTTTTATTATTGCTAAAAAATAAACATTTTACAGAGGAGATTTTAGCATTTTAGCACAGTGCATCATGCACAAGGTGAACGATTATAAATGCATGATGAATGATCTTTATTGTATCACTGTACGTGGGCAGAGACAAATCAAACAGTCAAATCAATGTTCTCTGTTGCTCATTTTTTCAGAAATCAGCATCTCACACTGAAAATATAAGACTTTAAGAGACTGCTTTGTCACTGCAGCAGTACAAAGAACCTTTTAAAGTAAAATGTCAGTTTTTTTGCTGTGCCTGTATGAAACACCCACATTGCATGTGAAAATGGAAATTTCTCACATACGGGATGCAAGGTATCTGTACAATTTAATTTTAATTTTGTCATTGCTCAGTGACAGCCTCTTTGCAAAGCCTATATTGTGACAGGACTCAGGATAAATAATAAAATAAATATATATAAAATTAAATAAAATTAAATAAAAGTATATAAAATTATATAAAATTTAAAAATTAATTTAGGCTACTTTAAAATGTGGATCCTATAAACAGAATGCAATGCATAAATGATAATAATGATAAATCCTCTCACACTGACTCATGGAGCTCACGCGTTCACAAGAAAATTCAACAAAAGTAATTGCTTTTCCTGTCACTCATTCTACAAAAAGAGCATGAACTTTATCATGGTGAGCTGATGTCATTTCCTATTCCATACATTCCATGTAGAGACCCCCAAGTGCTTGTTATTCCTGGTTTTCTGCTTCTCCAGTACAGGGCCGGATTCTAATACATTATAAAACACCTCATCTGAAAACATCAGACACTCTGTCAATCCTGGAGACAATGCTGTCCAATTGTGAAACCATGAATAATTCAGAGCCTGAGGGGATCAAACCGAAGCAGTCGCTATCACTCAGGTGCTGGTTCTGCTTAAGGCAGTGTGTCAGGCAGGTGGCAGCTCGAGGTGTTAACACGACTCACCTTGTCTCACAAACGTCTGGCTGGTGTCAAGGAGGATGTCACAGCCCTCCACGATCATGCGCTCAATAGCCAGGTTCTTACGGATGTTTTCTGTGTCACTCACTTCATCGTGCATCACCCTGGAACAATGTGAACATGACACTTGTGTCACAAATGGAAACGTGAGAAATTCACCTTCTTACTTTTTGCCACTTTGGTTCTCTGGCAAAGCTGTAAATGAACATGTCAGGGTATAAGAAGCACAGTCGAAGTATTTACAACTACTACATAATGCCAAGGGCAAAAAAACAGGAGGAAATTCACTACATCTGCTGAAGCACTATCTGCATTCTTTTGACATATTATTCACTAAAATAATTCAAATTTGAATCAACTACAATTTAACTTAAAATTTTACGTATGACATAAAATTATTCAAAAATTCTTATGGTCATCGGCTGATGTAACAATATAAAATGTTCTCTTTTCAATGAATTTGAATTTACTGCTGAATTCTCCATTTACCACCTGCCTTTTCAGTGGAATTAGCATAATATTAAAATAGGGCTGTGTTTTGTGAGTAGGGCTCTATAGTGATTTATATAGAAAGTAGAGAAAACTACTTAATACTCATGGCACAATGCTATTTCAGGGTATTAAGGGGATTCTTTCATTATTTACTCACCCTAATGTTGTTCCAAACCTATATGACCTTCCTTCTTCTGTGAAACATAAAATAAGTTATTTTGAAAAATGTCTCAGTGGGTTTTTTCGCTCATACAATGGAAGTCAATGGTCCCCAAAAGCCAACAGACCACCCCTCCCCCCCCCCAAACCCAAAACCAACATTTTTCAAAATATCTCCATTTGTGTTCCTTAAAAATGAAAGAAAGTCATATAAGTCTGAAAATAATTTAAAAATCTGGGAGAAAAAAACATTTTTTTATTTTGATTAAAAAAAAATATTATTATTATTTTTTTTTTTTGATGAACCATTCATTTAAACTCATGGTTAAACAGGATTGAAGTTGGTTAGTGAATTAGGCAAAGGTTTTTGCAATGACATACAATGTGCAACTGTTTAGTAAGTTCGCCTCTCAGGGTGGTTTCTTTACCTGGAGAGTTCCTCCAGTTTAGACTTGGCAAACTCTAGACTTTTCCTTTCCACATGCTCATGAGGTGTATGAGCCAGTAGCTCATGGAGAGTGATGATGTAACGAGGGATCTGTCAATCAATAGCATAAAGGGAGAAAAATTGTAAAGACTGAAAGTGTACAGAGCAAGAGTTATCAGTAGGCCCGCATAGAATCTGCGCCCACAGAATGTCCGTCTATCAATCAAGTTGTATTCGTCCCTCGCCCCTTACATGTTTGTTACTTTAAAAATGTGGCTAATTTGATAATGCTTACACCCAAGGGTCTAGTACTCTCCAACTAATCTAATTCTACAGATTTTACCTCAAAATCACCCCCCAAAAAATCAGCAGATTCTGTCTGGGCCTTGATTTCAGGAAACCTATAAAAGATTACTTTGCATGTTTGGGGAATTGAGATACATCAGGCTTCTACAAGTGATAAATGAGGCTCTTCGTGAGTGAGTGTGAAGAGCCCTCTCAAATGGTTCATGGAAAACAAATGTCTTATTTGTAGAAACACAAGCCAGCAATTCCCAGTGGCAATTCAATTAATTGAACAAATCGAGCTCTTCAGTGATCAGTCTGGAATTGAATAAGACACTAATGAGAGTGCGAGTGTGGCACCTGAAACATGGGGTATGTGAGGAAGGTTTCCAGCATCCTCCCCTCACACGCAGCGTTTGATTCGTACTGCTTCAGGAGTTTGTCAAAGTCCCGGTTCTGCTTACAGTTGGCCAGAACCTGAAGACTGTACTGGTGGTTCCTCACAAACTCCTGATAGATGTTCAGCATTGGCAGCAAGATATCAAAGAGATCCGCTAAAAAGGAGAAAGCAACGTCAAAGTCATTCTTTTATTCACAGCGGTGCTTGAAAATGCTTATCTTGGGTTTAAGATGTTGGTGGGATTTTGTCTGGCTCTCATTGTTGCAGAAGTGTGTGTGTCTGTATACGGTGAGATAGGTGAGAGTCAGACGTCATTGACGGGTTTGATTGAGATGCTGTGCGTCAGCGGAAACAGCTTGTCCTTGATGTTAGTGTCACCCTGCAATGTGCTGTCTTTGTTGGTGGGGTGTTCTGAATAGCTGCTCCTGAGTGCGGTAATTAGCTTTCTGAGAGATTAAATGTAACAATCATGACATACCTAGAACCAGTGTGGGCCAGTTTGCTATCCTCGCCTTCAATCCCTGATGAAATATTTCATGTAGAAACATGATTGTCTCACTGAGGACAAAAAAGAGAGTATATATCAATACAACAAATATTTAAAAGGATTTATTAAAATATCAATAAATCCGATTATCCCATGGCACCAGGGTCAAAGCTTAACACTCAGCTTGTGCCAAAGGCGAGTAAAAATAAACCACTCACCAATAAACACAATGTTGTATTTTGGTTGCAGTTCATTTAAAATGCAGTACAACATTTATAGGATGTTTTATTTAGGTTCAAATTAATCAACACATTGGATTGAGATGTTTCAAAAACATTAAGGGCCAGTTTTACTAAACAGGGCCAATTAGCGCAAGAGCGCATCTCCAAAACAGCACCGATAAGCATGGAAATTTCTGCAGGTGAACAACGTGCAAATTAAAAAACACAGACGCAACATCTCATTTACATATCGACCAACGCAATATACCAAGTGCAGCGCAAATGAGCGTAGTCGCAAATAAAGAAATAAAGAAGCCACAGTACACTGAAAAGAAAAGAAAAATTAAGGGTTGCAAGAAGTTTTGATAGACCTGGTATTGTGTGACTCCTAGTTGAGGGTTCCAAGCCGTCTTTTATTTCCTGAAGCAAATTAAAAATAACATTGTTTGGCTTGGCTTGGCTTGGCAAATGATATGTTCGGATAATGTGTTCTTCTGGCATCCCAAATAAATTAATACGTGGGGAAAAAATCCTCTCCCTTCTATAACGCTTTCTGTTCTCTGCGGTGCCTCCTCCTAGCAACAACAATTGCAGCCATTTCAAGTGCAAAATAGTTTAAGACATGTTTTTTTTGGGTGTTAAATAATGACGCAAATACCAGTAATTTAATAAAAAGACGAGCACAAACGTTAGTAAATCTTAAATCTCGTTGCGTGATTCATTTTAATACTCTCCTCCATAAAGAAATAAAGAAGCCACAGTACACTGAAAAGAAAAGAAAAATTAAGGGTTGCAAGAAGTTTTGATAGACCTGGTATTGTGTGACTCCTAGTTGAGGGTTCCAAGCCGTCTTTTATTTCCTGAAGCAAATTAAAAATAACATTGTTTGGCTTGGCTTGGCTTGGCAAATGATATGTTCGGATAATGTGTTCTTCTGGCATCCCAAATAAATTAATACGTGGGGAAAAAATCCTCTCCCTTCTATAACGCTTTCTGTTCTCTGCGGTGCCTCCTCCTAGCAACAACAATTGCAGCCATTTCAAGCGCAAAATAGTTTAAGACATGTTTTTTTTGGGTGTTAAATAATGACGCAAATACCAGTAATTTAATAAAAAGACGAGCACAAACGTTAGTAAATCTCGTTGTGTGATTCATTTTAATACTCTCCTCCCATAAATTTTGCATCTGAAAGGGAAACTCCGACAAATGCATATTCAATAAGGTCAGGCGCAAAAATAACAGTGTCCAACTGTGCGCGTCTTTAGTAAATCCTGACAGTACTATTTTAATGCCAAAAGATGGTTTGCGCTGGCACAAGCTGTTAGTAAAACTGGCCCTATATCTGTGTTGAAGAAGGATGTGGATGAAATAGTTCAAATCAGCATGCAAACAAGCTGTTACAACACTGACACTGGTTGATCTGGGTCAGAGGCTCTCTTGTATAATTTTTTTAGAACCCAGGATCATTGGAAAAACATTCCTGAAGCATAATTTCTGTAAAATGGCATTGCATTGTAAAATGGACACTTTCAAAGTGAAATGTCCAATGAGCGACACTAAAAGTGCATTGAGTTTTATCTGAAACAAATCAATGTGAATCTGGGAACATTTTATTATGTTAGCTGTTTCATGCATTGTGGCAATTCAGAAATGAAATGTCCGGTGAGTAGCGCTAGAAGGTTGATTATCTCTCATTGCACCTACACTAAACCTAACCAAAATCAAAAGCAAATGTTAGCAAAAGTAAACATGATAGAAAAATGCATTTGCCGAATCATCTATGCCATTAGCTTGCTTCTACAAGTCTTTGAGTTATTTTATCGTGGCTTGTATTTTACTAGATTTGTACATGAAGGTTCTGAATCATCTGTGTATACAGTACTGTACCAGGTGAGCTACAGAGCAAGTTTACTATGTCAGAAAAGCCATACATATGAAGCTGGTTATGTGATGCAATCATTAAAATATATTAGTTTTCACAAATCATGCACTATAGTTAAAGTTGTTGCTGTTTTACTGTCAGCTGAAAACTGCAGTGAACTATATGTTCAAGTATATTTTTGGAGTTTTGCAAAAATGTTGGCTGAAGTACATTTGTTAAAGGTCACTGGTTTTTCCAATGAGCCTTTGTTGATTTTTGACAGAGTGGTTTTCAATGCCAAAGAAACCAAACTCACACACCTGTTAAGGAAGATGCTACTGACATCATCGTGGCTAATGGGTGGTTTCTTGGAGCTGGCGGCCATTCTGAGTGGCCTCAGGAAGCAGTTGACTAGGATGGAAAGCTGATGGACATACTCTGTCTCAGCCTCCACCATGTTGAAGACGATCTGATTCCTCTTCCTCATGCTCTCAGCATGAGGAGAACAGATGTAGTCCTGCACAATAATCTTCCATTTCCTTCTACACAGCCACCCTCGCATGAAGCTCTGGACCTACAGAGACAAAGTGTGTAGGATTACTGAGTGGTCACAGTTTGATCAATGAGGGAAACCGATTAACTTCATGAACTTCTCAAACCAATGTTTATTGTTTAACAAGCCCACATGGCAGCAGTGTTTGGATGTAGACATATTTATGGCCATGTAATGTTAAAGTCCTTTACCTTTTTGATTTTTTTTATATCAGGATCCTCCTCTTCTTGGTGTACGTGATAGGGACGCATTCTTTCCTTAGTTTTGTTCAAGGCTATAATCTTTAAGAGAGAACAAAACACAACATGACTGAGCATTACTGTATGTGGATCACTGAGACCCTGTGTGGGTGCTGGTACATCAGATAACAATCTTAACTTCCTCTCCACGGACAATTTCCTTCCTTCATTCAACAGCCTTCATCAAAAAGTTCTCTCACCAAGCCTTTATCAGCCATTACCTTTGGATGCAAATAGGCTAAATGCCCCACAGCGTATCTCCCAGTATATGCAGTCTGCAGGCACAAGCCAAGACTTTAGTTTATTGAAGTGCTATTGTACAAATTGATAATAGGTAATGGTCATGTTTGTTGTGTTTTTTTTATTTGTTAAGTGTTAGTTTGGAATTTAAAAAATCTTTGCATATCCACCTTTTTCTTGCCATAAAAATGGGCAGGGCCATTTGTAAATTCTATGGGTCTAGCTCCCGGTCTCATCCGCGTCCAGCTATTTTTAGCTGAACAAAACAGTTCGTTTTGCTGCTTGATATTGAAAATGGGTGTGTCTTACCATATTATTTTAATGTATTATCTTAATTATGAACACACTGGTTTGTAGTGCAAACAGTTTTACAGTTTACTGCACGTTGTTATTCTACCTATAGCGGCTAATGAACCGGAAGTCTCGCCCATAGGCTTACTTCCGTGTTGAAGAAAAATGTGGATAATCTGAAGGCTTTTATCGCTACCCTGCTTTAAGTGGATAACGGTTCAGTTTCCTTATTCTAGTTTTACTGCCATCATATAACATGCAAAATGTATTTATTTTTCTTCAGTTTCACAACAATAAAAGTTTCTATAATAAAACAATACAATCACTTAGCAAAATTCAGCATTTACACAGAATGTAGAGTATTTGTGAATATCTTGGCTTTATGTCATCAATACAAATGTTGTCTACAATATCAAGGTGCGAGCCAGTAGTAGTTGGTATCTTTTTTAATTGTATCCTTATAAAAAATGTATAACTCACAACAAGTTTGAATGCAGATGTTTCAGTTTAAAAAACAAAGCACTGCTTTTATGGCTTCATCATTTATTCATAAAGAATACTTCTGATATAATCATGACAATACAGCATAAGTGGTTTTTATGTAGGGCTGCACGATAAATCGCATGCGATATTTAATGCGCATCTTGTCAGAAAGCCGGTTCTTTAATCAGCGGTAAATCTCCATCACCTGCGGGCTGTGAACGTGGTTTTGCGCAGCTCGTCAGTGAACAACGGCTCTGTGTAGTTAATGCTGCTCAATGTGAAAGCCCGCAGGTGATGGAGATTTACCGCTGATTACAGAACCGGCTTTACTAATAAGATGCGCGTTAAATATCACATGTGATTTATCGTGCAGCCCTATTTTTATGGCTATTTATATTATACACCAGACCTATGTTTATATAAAGAAATAATAGTGCAAGGAAAACAACACCATGCAATAACAACAGTAGTTAGAACGATAGATGGAATAACCGAATAAAAGAATGATAGAACAGTGGATGGACAGACGAGTGGATAGATAGATAGATAGATAGATAGATAGATAGATGGATAGATAGAGGTCCCATCTTTTGTGAATACTGAGCAGTAGGTGTAATCAGCCTAATTAAGATAACATGTTTCTCATGTTTTTGCATTTATTTATACTCTGAATTGTGTGTTCACATGCCACTGACCCTGCAATGTCAATAATGGGGCATAATTCTCGTCCCCATGGCGACTGGTCCAATGGGGAGGATAATTCCCTGGTAACACAACTAGGGAACAGATAAGATACAGAGCCTGAGAGATGCTCTGTGGCACACTGGGATTGCATATGTTGCTGGTAACCTTAATCACAAAAAGACAAATACTACAATCTGGAAAAAGCAATATGAGAAAAGCAAAGCTATGGTTGAACTCCATTATCAGGATAAGTCACAAATGCTTTTAGTAAACAGGACTGTACAGTAATGGCGACATTTTTGGAGACCTGCACTGTTATTAGATTAATGGGATCTAGAGCGGTTCACTGATTCACAAAATTGGACTGCACGTTGGAAAACAGCCCATTACATGGCACAGCTCAAGCATATACAGTTACCTCAGATTTAAGCCTCTCAATCTCTGTGTCTTGGTCTTCCAGTTGTGTGCGGAGCTGATTGGCTGCCACCTTCTCTGTCTCCACAATCTGCACCAGGTGGATGTACTTCTGCATAAGAACCTCACGCTCGATGATTATGTCAGAGTAGCTGAGGTGAAAACAACAGGGTTACACTCAAATTTAATGAGATATCAGAATATAAATGTAGTCGTTTATGTATGCCTGGGTTCATTTAGCGAGGCTCAACAATAAAGATGTCCAGTTGAGCAAACTGCTACTATCAAGCCACTGCTGAACTTGTTACTAAATATTAACTTGATCGTGTTGATGTACTTTTTTTATTTTTTATAGCCTGTGTGTTGAACCTACTGAACTCACCAACACTTTCCAGTAAAATTGTTTATGAAATTGCTGTGATGGATTTAAACTATAGCTTTTATCATTTCCAGAAATAATTTAAAATAAAAAAATAACTTTTAAAATTAAAACTTACAGAAAAATGTAAAAAATGTTTTGAAAAATACAACATATGCATGTTGTAACACACACACACACACACACACACACAAATGGTGCACTTTGACTTTACGTATTGTCTGTGATTTATTTCCAGTTGCATTAAAGTGAACAATGTCGGCCTGTTTTACTGAAGTTCAATGCGGACTGTCCAGATGTTCACAGGCACATCTGTTCATGGGTAACTCAATAATCTGTTAGATTCAGCCGATCTCTCCAGTGACGGAATACAAATGTACACTGCGGCTTGAGTATAAATCTGTATGAGGAGTATAAATCTCTAGTGTCTGCATTTGAGTGCCTTAAATCTCTGTGGGTTTGTGTGTCTGCAGAATATTATGTGCGTGTGTGTGTGTGTGTGTGTGTGTCTTTGCGTAAGTTGCTAACAACAACAACAAACCATTGTCATAACATCATAAATTAGTGTTTTCCCACTCAGACTTAAAACTGTATTTGTTTCATTGTTTAAGTGAAGCGTATAATTATCTCAATGTTAAAATACTTTCACAACTATATATAAGCCATTCATAAGATTGATTCCCCAAAAAGTATAAACAATGAGGCTTTTCAAAACATTGCTTTGTTTGTTTGAGCATCCCAATCAGCCCGGCTCAACCAATGACATGAGTTTGGATAGTATTGTCATGGTGTCATGTCCAAAAAAACTGATTTCAACTCAGGATCCCTGTTTCTCTTCTTTCTGCATTTCACCTCTATTCTAGCTTGTTTCCTGATGTAGCTTTCTAATAAACCTGGCATTGTATACTATGAATTTTGTTGGCTCTGTATTGAATTGCTTATTATGTTCCTCATTTTTAGTCGCTTTAGATAAAAGCATGTGCATTAATGTAATGCAATGTATATGCAAAAAGAAAACTGTACCACTAGACCTAGTCACTTTATCAGAAGTACTGTATTTACATACTGTATATTTTCAGTCAATAAAGCTATCGTTAACTATTACAATATAGCTAAATACAGCAACAAATAATATGGAAAATATTATGAAATAAGCTTAAAGAAAGAAAGAAAGAAGAGGCATGAAGGGAAGTTAAAAAATAAAAAAATAAAAAAATAAAATATCGAACATTCTACTTGGAAAAGAAATACTAAAACCCACTTCAGAAAGCGGGAAAAATGAATCCCAGCAAAAAAAAAAAAAAGACTTATACATGCATAATGAACTACTAAGTGGCTAAAAAGTTTTCAAGCTGCTAAAGGTTATCTTTAAGTGATCTTGCCTAGGGCACCAAGTGAGAAAGGGCTGGTACATCTTAAAAAAAAAAAAAAAAAAAAAATTGGTGCATGACGCCCCTGGCAACAGGGTTTCCACAGTCTGAAATTATAGCTTAATATTCAGTCTTGCTCTAAGGCAGATCTGTGATACAACAAATAAAGCAGTTTAAGCTTTCTTTAGAGATTTGTCTCCTGGAGATGAGTTGTATAAAACCTGACTGCAAAGTTTGATCTTAGGCTGCATGTCTGAGCACCAGGGAGAGGAGAACAACAGTGCTGTCAACCTCAGTGTGGCTTATTTGTTGCTGTGCTGCTCTGCAGTGACAGGAATAAATGCACAATGCGCTTGACTTAACCCGCTCTGATATGTCTCTTTCTTATTATGATGATTTTATTCTTTCAGCCTGAGAGTAAAGCTTCTTTAGCGCTTCTAAATATTATCCTTGAATGAGCAAGATACAAAAATAAAATACACACAGTCCCACTACCTGGCTTGCTGGATGGCCTCCACCCATTCATCACAGTCTGACTCCTCCTCTGTCCGCAGTTCCAGAGGCTTCTGTCCATCATGCCCGAAGACGACGAGAAAATAATGCTAAAGAGATAGACAGACAGATACAAACTGAGAGGTTAGCCTGTGTGTGTGTGTGTGTGTGTGTGTGCATGTTTATGTGGTTTATGAGGACACACATTTGTATAATAACATGGGTATGACATAGGTATTACAACGAGAAGGTGATTTATGAGGACATTTTCAGTGTCCCCGTAATTCAAGAGGCTTATAAATAATTCAGAATTAGTTTTTTTGAAAATCTAAAAATGCAGAAAGTTTCCTGTGAGGGGTAGGTTTAGGGGTAGGGTTGGTGTAGGACAATAGAAAATATGGTTTGTACAGTATAAAAACCATTATGCCTATGGAGAGTCCCCATAAACCATAAAAACAAACCTGTGTGTATGTGTGTGTGTGTGTTGAACCAACTGAACTTTAATGTTCTATTTTAAACCATTACATGCATCTTTTGTTGTAAAAACTATTTGATGCTAACTATTTGATGCTTAGTAAAATAGCTGTATGAAAAGCAGCTTAACACATCAAAATGTATTATTTGTGGCCTGTCTCACTTCACATCTTAACTTTCTCAACTGTATTCAACAATAAAACCCAAACAATGTCACCATCTTGACATAATCTGTTGAATCTATTTAATTCTTTTTATATTTACATGTTTCCCACATTTTCTTCGCAACCCTCTTACCATCAGTTTTTTGTCCAATTGAAAAATATATATATACAACATTCCTTAAAATTGTGAAACTCTTGACTACACACAATTTGGATCCTTTTCTACAAAATGGAGAGAATAAATAATCTCAGTTTTACCACAACATGCAGTGTTCAAAGCATTTCATAATCAACCTTGTTGATTATGAAAAAATAAAAAAATAATTTAATCATTCTATTTAATTTTGATGCATATTGCTAGAAAATCAGGGTTGCAAAAAAAACAACAAAAATAAAAAAAATAGAATAGCCTTTTTTTTTTAAAGAAAAGCAGTTCAGACATTATTTTCTACCTTATTTGTCCAAAGCACTACAATCTAAAACATGAAGAAATATGAAGAAAAATTTCCATCACAAGAGGCCTGCTTTTAGATATAGCTATCAGAGCACCTGCTCTGTATTAGAAACAGCAAGCTTTTACTGCCAACACACAAATGCTGACAAGTTTTCCCACATTTTCTTCGCAACCCTCTTACCATCAGTTTTTTGTCCAATTGAAAAATATATATATACAACATTCCTTAAAACTGTGAAACTCTTGACTACACACAATTTGGATCCTTTTCTACAAAATGGAGAGAATAAATAATCTCAGTTTTACCACAAAATGCAGTGTTCAAAGCATTTCATAATCAACCTTGTTGATTATGAAAAAATAAAAAAATAATTTAATCATTCTATTTAATTTTGATGCATATTGCTAGAAAATCAGGGTTGCAAAAAAAACAACAAAAATAAAAAAAATAGAATAGCCTTTTTTTTTTTTAAAGAAAAGCAGTTCAGACATTATTTTCTACCTTATTTGTCCAAAGCACTACAATCTAAAACATGAAGAAATATTTCCATCACAAGAGGCCTGCTTTTAGATATAGCTATCAGAGCACCTGCTCTGTATTAGAAACAGCAAGCTTTTACTGCCAATACACAAATGCTGACAAGCATTGTGAAATAAAACAGGTACAGGGTTATGAGAGTCTGAGCACTATGCGGCTTAGAATGAACTATTACTGCAATCCCTGCATAACCATATACACTGGTGCTGCTTCAAATACATTATTAATGAAATATCAACTGCATCAAGGCAGTCAAACTTAAGCATTACTAACCACAGCCTGACATGTATTTAAAAAATGTTGCCTTTTTCTAACATTGAAAATAACTTGCGAATAAAAAAACAAAACACTCAGCAGCATTTAACTGACACTGAGAGCATGCAATCACAGTCTAAGAAGAAAGAAGAAAGCTTTCAAGAAAGCTGATCATTTCCATCCCTTGGTGCCGGAATTAGCATACACTTAGAATCCAGGAAATAAATCTAAAATATATAAATAATTCTAACTAGTTTATATAATTTCATAAGGCATCGTTATGCATATAAATGCAATCTACAAATTTAAAGGCTTAGGGGTCAGAAAGCAGAACATATTGCGTTTGTTTGTGTATCTGACGTTTGCATTTATTTCACATCTGCAGCCGACACTAATGAAATGAGCGACTTCAGCTGGTCATGCAACAGTAAACACAGCTCCACTACTGCTCTTTGAGTCATCGCTAGATTCGCGAGGAGACAAAATACAGCACAAATGTTTGAGTCAGTTTGTGACTGCCAATTACTGTATATGTCAGAGAGAGAAAGAACTGTTTGTGTGTTCAGATGTGTATATGCATCCAGTATACTGTATGTATGCGCACATATATAATCACAAAACTGCAGCAGGCACCAGGCATTCTTACATTCACAAAACCATCTCTACGCTCTCAAAAGGTACAAAACTGTCACTGGGGTGATACCCTACTAATATGTGCACTTCAGGTACTAATTTGTACTTTTAAAGTACTAATATATACCTTTTTATTGTTTAGGGGAAAATAAGGTAAAGTTTGTCCCTTTTTTCTGGGAATGTATGTAAACTATTGGTAAACCTAGCAGAACCTACTTAAAGGGATAACTTGTTCACCCTTAAAAATAAAAAATTCTGTCTGTTTTTTTTTCTTCTGCAATTGCCAGTAACATTATCTTCCATAGTATGGAAAAAATGCTATGGAAGTCAATGTCTACCAGCTGTTTGGTCGGCAACATTCTTTAAAATATCTTCTTTTGTTTTCAATAGCAGAAAGAAACTCATACAGGTTTGGAACAACATTATGGTGAGTAAACGATGACAAAATATTTATTTTTGGGTGAACTATTCTTTTAAATATCCAAATTCATCTGCAGCATCCTGCAGATCTACTACAACCAGCCACTGTGGTGTCTGTTAGAAATGTTGGTACTGTAACACTTTACAATAAGGTCTCATTGACATTAGTCAAAGGGATAGTTCACCCACACATGAACATTCAGTCATTAATTTCTCACCCTCATGTCGTTCCAAACCTGTAATACCTTTTTGATGAAATCTGATAGCTTTCTGACCCTGCATAGACAGCAGCGCAATTGAAATTGTTGAATAAAGTCATTATAAATAAGTCGTTGTTTTTTGTGCACAAAAATTATTCTCGTAGCTTCGTAAAATTACAGCTGAACCACTGATGTCACGTGGACTATTATACCAATGTCCTTACTACGTTTCTGGGTTTCATGACAGAATTTTCATTTTTGGGTAAACTATCCCTTTAATGCATTAGCTAAAATTAACTATCAATGAGCAATACATCCTTAAAGCATTTATTAGCTTCTGTTAATGTTAAAATGTATAAAAAAAAATTATACTAAGATTAATACATGCTGTAAATGTATTGTTCATTGTTCATGTTAATTGATACAGCTAACTAATGTTAATAATTGAAAACGTATTGTGCCAAAGGTTTAAACCAGCTACAATATTTGCAGCACCCAGAGGCTTTTTTTCAAACAACAGACTAAAGAGGTTTGTGAGCAGCTTTGGTGACAGGATGAGATGAAAACAAAGTCAAAACAAATACACAGACATCAGAGTTAATACAGAACACAATATTACATCTCTGCAATCATAAGCCCTGGAGTAATCTTTTAAATGGTTTTTACAAGGCTCTAGTGTATACTGATATTTCCTGCGATAACAGGAAGTAATTTGCTCAAACTCATAACACTCTCTAAGAAAGACTACCCTACTAATATGTGCACTTCAGGTACTAATTTGTACTTTTAAAGTACTAATATATACCTTTTTATTGTTTAGGGGAAAATAAGGTAAAGTTTGTCCCTTTTTTCTGGGAATGTATGTAAACTATTGGTAAACCTAGCAGAACCTACTTAAAGGGATAACTTGTTCACCCTTAAAAATAAAAAATTCTGTCTGTTTTTTTTTTCTTCTGCAATTGCCAGTAACATTATCTTCCATAGTATGGAAAAAATGCTATGGAAGTCAATGTCTACCAGCTGTTTGGTCGGCAACATTCTTTAAAATATCTTCTTTTGTTTTCAATAGCAGAAAGAAACTCATACAGGTTTGGAACAACATTATGGTGAGTAAACGATGACAAAATATTTATTTTTGGGTGAACTATTCTTTTAAATATCCAAATTCATCTGCAGCATCCTGCAGATCTACTACAACCAGCCACTGTGGTGTCTGTTAGAAATGTTGGTACTGTAACACTTTACAATAAGGTCTCATTGACATTAGTCAAAGGGATAGTTCACCCACACATGAACATTCAGTCATTAATTACTCACCCTCATGTCGTTCCAAACCTGTAATACCTTTTTGATGAAATCTGAGAGCTTTCTGACCCTGCATAGACAGCAGCGCAATTGAAATTGTTGAATAAAGTCATTATAAATAAGTCGTTGTTTTTTGTGCACAAAAAGTATTCTCGTAGCTTCGTAAAATTACAGCTGAACCACTGATGTCACGTGGACTATTATACCAATGTCCTTACTACGTTTCTGGGTTTCATGACAGAATTTTCATTTTTTGGGTAAACTATCCCTTTAATGCATTAGCTAAAATTAACTATCAATGAGCAATACATCCTTAAAGCATTTATTAGCTTCTGTTAATGTTAAAATGTATAAAAAAATTATTTATTTTATTTTAATTATTATTATACTAAGATTAATACATGCTGTAAATGTATTGTTCATTGTTCATGTTAATTGATACAGCTAACTAATGTTAATAATTGAAAACGTATTGTGCCAAAGGTTTAAACCAGCTACAATATTTGCAGCACCCAGAGGCTTTTTTTCAAACAACAGACTAAAGAGGTTTGTGAGCAGCTTTGGTGACAGGATGAGATGAAAACAAAGTCAAAACAAATACACAGACATCAGAGTTAATACAGAACACAATATTACATCTCTGCAATCATAAGCCCTGGAGTAATCT